TTTACAGCACTAATGCTGTAACATTAGTCAATCATTATTGTAAATCCCAAAGATTCCTTTTAGTCTTTCGTTTTCAGTTACAATGTTTTCATAACTTCAAAAATTGCATATATAAAATACTAAAGCTTCAGTACTTTATCCTGATAGTGTAGGACTTCAAAGATTGTCAAATCCATGTGTACATACCTCTGCTACATGGCAAAGGTTTCAGTTTAGTTTATTAATGAAGAAAATGTCATAAATGTCATGATTTTTTCTGTAAGTACTTGTTTAAAAGGAAATCGGTATCTGTAGTTATTTTTCTCATGAACAATTACGGTACTGCCTTGAGGATTCACTGGATTATTTGCAGGTTTTTTTCTGTTTTGGTGCTTTCATATTTTGGTATTGGAATAAAATATTATCAACTGGCATGGTAAATTTTAACCTGATCATTTTTATAATTTGAGTTCACTTTTTAGAAGTCACATAAAGAAAATGGCTTAAATACTTTAGATTATTTTAATTACATTAAGTACTTTTTCAAATGTTAACATGTTCTTTGAAAGATAATTGCGTGGTTTTGTAGTTTGTCTACCAATAAACTGCAAACAGTTAACAATTAATGATGGATTTGAAGTAGCATTTTGACAATAGCAGAGTTAGTGCACAGTCACTGTGTACTAGCATAGCGCCAAAGATACGCATGGAATACTGAGTGGAAAAGCAACTACGCTTGCCATTGATGCAGAACTGCAGTTCTTTTTCTTTTGTAACGTTTCATTTTGCAAACATGCTTTTACACTGTTCACAATCTTTTGCTTCAGCTGTAAATGTTTAACAGTACAGTTTCTCCTTAAAGTATTCTTCCTGTATTTGTCATGATATTTTTCCCAGTTGTCTTTACCATACATGTCCTCATGGACTGTGTGCCTTCCTGTGTCTGTATATGATAAAACTCCATGGACAGGATGAAATACCAACTTTGTACAATTCTTCAAAATTTCTACATTAAAACCTTAAAGAATAACCTTAGTGATGGCAAACATTAAAATCCGTGTTCCTTTCATTTTAAGGAAAGCTAAAAATCTGGAGCAGAAATGGTTAAATTTTTTTCTTGTTTGTTCCTTTCATATGCACATTTATCTTACTTTCTGTGCTGCTTCTGTTTTAATATATTCTTGCTTTTGATGCCTGTTTATGATTTGCAGTGGGCTTATGAAAAATTTAATACCATTACTATGCATTTTCAACTAATAAGCAATTCTCTAGCTTTTTATAATCATGATATCTTTTAAAAATAATCTTTTGACTAATCTTTTATGCAAAATCAGTATAATATTACTTTTGTTTTCTCTTTTTTTTTGGCAATGGAACTGACTCTGACCATTATACATGCAGTATAAAAAAATCTAAGATTAGTTCAGTAAGGTTTACTGTACAGACAGTTAAAATAATTATTACTATGAAGTATTTTCAAAACTAAAATGAAGAACCCGATTATGTTTTATGAAGTACAAGAAATCAGCCACTCGTTTTAACTATACCAATTGCAGTGTCTCACCACCTTAGTTAAACTGCACCATTTTCACTTCATTACATTTATTTCCCCTATTCTTTTGCCCAAACTTAGGGAGTTGTCCGAATGGAACAATTATATAGATGTGAGACTTCCATTTTTTGAAATTTGTGTTACAGTATTTTTCAGTATACTCAGCAAAGATCTCCTCTGGGCATATTTCTTTGTTGCCCTTGTTCTGTAGATTATATAAACATTTCTGGTTATGAGAAATCGATTGCAATGACTTGTTGACTTCAGGTAAAGAAGGTCAGGAGGACCATAACCTAAAGCTTTGCCCATGCCAACTGTGGTTCCTGCAAGCATATGATTGGCTCAAAACCGCTTCTTTTGTCCATATGTCAGGTTGATAATTTACCAGTTCTTACTGTGGAATGGCAATTTTAGTCAAACACAGATGCCAGCCAATTAAAGGTTTCATGGATTTCGTACTTAACACAGTATTGCTATTTCCAGAGGTCAGTGTTGCTGATTGTGCTCCCATGGTACCATGTGCTTCTTTAACACCTGGTAATTTTAAGTAAATTTTTTTTTTAAACAATGGCAATGAAAATATCACTGGACGTTTCAGTAGCTGATATTGCCAAGCAAGTCTGTATTAAAACAGATGGCCAGAAGGATTGTTAATACTGTAGCAGGATGCAGCTTTTGTATTGCACTATAGGCATTCTGTTTAGGAAGGCCAAATGCTAGTTTTGTAATTGTACCAAGGTGGCCCACTGTTTGAAAAAACTTTGTCCTATTTGATCCATAGCTGTTTCATTCCATACTTAATGATGGTAGAAAACTGCATTGCATATCACAGAGGAAGATGAGCTCACAGTGGCTGAAGACAGATAGACAATTACTTGAAAATTAACATGCTCAAAATTTTAGAAATAGCTGTTAATAGAGTCTTTAATGTATGGATTCAAAATATTTTAGTTTTTTTTTAAAGTAGCTTTTCAAAAATGGTTCTATGGAAGTTTAATTACTTTTTGCTGCACATGGGCTCTGCTTGGCTTAGAAATAAACAGTCCTCCTGTAGCACAGGGTCTCAGAACCAACTTGGGCATTTTATTACTTTTGCCATCCTTCCTGTAATAGAGTTCTGCAAACCAGATGACAAAAACATGGCAAATTTCATGTCTTGGCAAAACTGGTCAGAAGATTCACTTGTGCCTAAAGATGAAAAAAAATTTCAGCTGGCTTCAAGTTAGCTGTATTAGTTCTTGCTCTGGGCATAATTGCAATAAAAATGTTACTCATTTATTTATACATTGAGTTTCTTTATTGACTTAGAACAGAGAATTACAGGTGCTGTAATCACATTCTTCTTCAGCAGAAGACATGGCAGATATTACTTGATTCTGTGTCAATTATACCTGTAAACATTCCTATATATGAATGAAATTATATTGCTGCTCTCCATCACTTAGACAAGGAGCACAATAATAGTTCGTATTCAAATGGGTGGATATGTATATGTCTATATACGTAACTAGAAATTTTGGTAGCAACTGAGATGCAGAAATGCTTCAGCAACACAAGCAATTAATGTCAAAAGTTGCTGAACATGATCCTTGGACATACAGGGTTTTTCACGTGGTAATTCTCTATAAATGCACCCTTGAAAAAATAATTACCACAGGAAACAAATGAAAGTCTGGGATGCAGACTTATGTAGAACAAAGTAATTTCTTTCAGTGAACTTGCAGTGAATTGCACTTGTGAAAGACTGAAACAAATACAGGTTTGGGTTTGGCTTTTTTTGTTTTGTTTTTTAATTGTTTGGGTATTTTAGCTAGACACATTTCTTTTTTCCTTTTTTTTCCTATTTCACTGTTACTTAGTTTTATTGTAAGAGCATTCAGTACAATGCCAGCTTTTAACTTCCACTTTACTGTATGGCATGTTACTTGGCAGATGTCACCAAAGTATTTACAGTTTTGCTTTTGCAAATGGGTGACACTGGCAGATGCTTCTGGTGTGCTGTTATCATGTCAGCTGTTTGCAAAAGGATGTGTAAAGCCTCAGCATTTTTTTTTAAATACTGTAACCCCCTATAGTAGATAATATCAGTGATTTAATTGACTCTAACTTCATTATGGCTTGGCCATCTTATAGCAGGTAGTTTTTCCACATCTTTTCACATTCCCAGCAAACCTAAATTTGTGAAATACAGATCAGGCAGTATAGGATGAACCAGCCTGCGAGTTTTCTCAGTAGTAAGCATGGTTGAAATACAGAGGGTTGTGAGCAAAGCCATGATCCCTATCTCTGTTTTTAATGAGCTGAGAAGATAGTGTTAAACTGAAATATGCACTGCATAATGTGGTTATAGGAGTCAGCTTCCACAAAGCTGCTGGTCTGGGCCTTTGTTCACACAGACATTAGACATCCTTTGTTTTGCCCCTCCTTCTCTTCTTCAGCAGTCATTCAATGACAAGCGTAAAAAGAACCTCTTTTCCCGAAAATTTCCCTTCTACAAGAACAAGGACCAGAGTGAGCAGGAAACCAGTGATATTGACCGTAAGTATGTGGCATTCTATGGAGAGCGAAGCACACGTAGAAGGGCCTGCTAGATTGCAGTAGGGTGTTACCGTGGAGACAGTTTCGTGAGCTGCAACAGGCTAAGGAGCTTGAGATGCCAATGACAAACCAATTTGCAAAGTCAATACAACCGTTTGTTTGGTGTTAAAGTAAAATTTAACCTGAGAGTATCCCAGTTTGGAATAAACTGGGTAATACTGTTGAGTAACAGTTTGTATGTAACTGGAACAAGATAACAGCCTTCCAGCGCTGTCAGTGATGGTTCTTCATTTCTGACTTGTCCCTTTAGACTGGTTTCTTCAAAGTCATTAATTCTAACTTGGTTTTCCTAACGAAGAGTAGTTACTTTGATTTTCATCGTTGTTGCCAGCACTAAAAAAAAAACCAAGTGTCTTCTCAAAAAGCAGTTGCATAAGTTTGGTAATTCAGACCAAGTCCACTACAAACTGTGGTCTCTGCCATTTGCATCACTGGTTACAATTCGTGTGCCAGTCAGGTCAAATCCTATAGACTTATCTTCCCCTGTGATGTTCTGGGAACTGTCTCCTGTCGTAGCGCCAATTTTATATATTACTGACAATTATTTTCTTTGTGATTGTCTTTTTATTGCTTGCCCTCTGGGGACTACTCTGCAGGAGGTCCCTGACGACATGGGATCAAAAGGCCTGAGTAAGTGATCAAAATACTCCCAAGTTTTTTTAACCTCCATCTGAAAAATTACTACTTTTTTTTTTTAACAGATCTTTTTGAGACTGATGCTCTACTGGCATAAGGAGGTTGACTCTAAAAATGTTTCATGAGCTTTTTCTAGTTTATAATGTTCTGGGGGTCTTTGCTTTCAGGAACATTGTTACTTTAAGGTCATGTGACTATCACAGTAGATTTTTTGTTTTTCAAAAGCTTACCAGTGCTTACTTGTTTGTCCTTAATAGTACTGTGTTTTAAATTTCGTGATTTTTTTTTTGTCACAAAAGTCTTTGTGTTTTTATTTAAAAATAACCTGTGGCTTTTTACAGTAATAGTTCAACAATTGCCGTAATACTTCAACTAGTTACAGTTTTCAATCCTTTCTCTAGGTGACTGACATTTACAGCTACTTAAACAAAAAACTTCGCTTAACAAATACCATGAGAGGTTTTCGAACTTATTTGAAGTCTTACGATGTTTTTAGACCAGATACAGAAGTAGCTAATAGAGGAGACACTAAGCATTAGTTGTATTTCTTGCAGAAGTGTTAACTACTTAAATACAGTAAGATTCAAAAGTTGCTGAGTACTCTTGACAGATCTGTTTGTGTACACGGACACCACCACTATACTTAAAATGACAAAAAAAAGTCAAGACCTTGCTTTCATCACAGATACTAAATACATACGTTGTTACATGTTTATGGAATAGCAAAATTAGTCACTAAAGGTATGTGACTGAAGGTCACTAAAAAACCCATTTCTTCCCAGGGCGTAACTGTTATACACAGTGTTCCTGAAGTTACATGGAAGAAGCAGTGTACTTCGCCTCAATCATGAAATAAAAATTCTAGTAGCTATTACATTAATTTTCCATTTCTGAACTGGCTAGTTTCAAGGTGTAGAGCGGAAGACCTTAGCGACCTTTATGGCCTTATAGTTTAGAGCAGAAGACAGTAAGCAGCCTTTATGGCCTTGTGATCATACCTAGTTTAAACTATGTAATATGGTCCAGAAATGTCACTAGGTGATTCTGTTGTAAAAACAAAAGGCTTCTAGCCTGTTTTTCCGCACAGTCAGACTTTTTGAAACTGCCTTGCTACACTTCATGCAAGCTGCATTACTTGGGCTCTGCAAGACTGGTGTTCTTGCTGGCATTTTAGGCTTTACATCTTCACCAATTGTGCCTATTATCAGACTATCACAACACTTGTATTCTCAATTGAGAATGTCTCCCTTTCGTGTTCTACCATGAGGCTTTTAAACATCACTGTTTGCCTCTTCCATGCCAATCTGGACATTCTTTTTCCAAGACAAGAAAACGAAATGGAAGTTGATCCAAATCGCTGGTACTCACAAACATTAGGAAGTATTTGTCTGTTTTACCTGTGCAGAAATTAAATGAGGGAGTTCAGTCTAGCCAGAGGCTTGTGGTTTAAAGATATTAATTTACTTTATCCAAAAACATTTTAAAAGGTTCATTAGTTTATGTATTATGACTAACTTTTTTAATATTTATTAATCACTCAAAGCATACTTGCTCCATAACTGTATTCTTACCTCTAGAGTCCCCTTGCTTCCTTCTCTTTGATCTTGTAGGGGAGGAACCACACTGAATTTAATGTATTATAAAGGCTCCTCATGACAACAATATGTATTATCATATGCACAGTTAGGTACCTAATTTCTAATTAATTGTATTTAATTTGTATAGGTCAAACACAAGCTTCTTTATGCAGTCTTAACCTGTGAATGTTAGTGGTTTTGATTACAAATAAACTCATTGGGTGGCATGAAAATCGATTTCTTACAGTAAAATTCAGCAATATTAAAGTTCATATTTGTTCACCAGATTAGTATAACTTTCAGGTATCAGAATAGATTGATACCTGGAGTTCTTCAATTGCATTAATCTTTATCATAAGCATATTTAACTCAGTTACATAGCTTAAAAAAGTAAATATAAATACCTTGTAGCTACTGAAAAATTTTGATCACTATGCAAAAGGCATGAAATTAATATAGATAGTCCAGAATAAAAGCCAGGAGCTTTTGAAAACTAAAGCACTGTGGAGTGGGGTGGGGGGGAAATAATCTTAATTCTGCATTGCACTTCAAGTAAACTATTTAATATACCATAGGAAAGTGTCTTATTATTGAATGTGCTACACTATATTTCCTGCAGTATAGTTCAGTCGTTCCTGCTACAAGACACTTAATGTAATCAATGAATTGCCTGCATAAAAGTTGAAATGCATAACCCCATAGTTCTTGCACAACTTGAAGTAAAAACCTAAAAATTATAGGGTTACATGTGAATTATGAATTAGTGTACTTTTCGTAATCTTATTTTGATGTGCTATTTAATGTTTTTCTTTTTATTAACGTCAGTTCCTTTCATATGATATTAAGCTTGATCCTGAGAGCTATGAGAAGTACCTTAAAACTTTTATATGCAGTATGTATTGATTTCAGCATTTTGATATCAGTATTGTCTTCATCTGGATTATTTTGTGTCAATTTGCTTTCTTTTGGATTCATGCCATTACTGTATGTTCCTTATTTTTTTTTTTCCCATTGTGTTGCAATTTCAGAGCATGTAACCTCTAATGCCAGCGATAGTGAAAGTAGTTACCGTAAGTGGTTTTAAGTTCTTTCTTTATTTAGAACCTTTGTTTAGTAGCTCTTTCTTTGGTTTTGCTTGTCTGTCTTTTCTGAGTATTTACATGTTAAATAGAACTTCCCAGTCACCTTCAGGTGAAATCCATATTCATGTGTTTGATGGAGTACTGCAAATTGTGCTGTGTCTTTGTTTTCAAAAAAACTGACTAGAGAATCATTGCAAACCTCCTTCATGGATATTTGTATTGTGATCTATGATTTTCTTAGTTCAGCTTAATCTGAATGTATTCCTTTTTTTAAAAAAATTATGTGAGCTAGCTAGAACTATTAAAACCTAAATGTAAATTTAATGCTGACAAATATAATTATCTGTAGTTGAGTTTAATACTGGAAGTGTAACTAAACTGTGTAATCTGTTAAATAGTGCAATAACTAACTACATTTTTTCACAACCGATACTCAGACTTAATATGTATGTACTTCTAATGAAGTAAAGAGAGGCAAACATGCATTTACCTTTGCTTTCAGCTTTCATTTATGTATTTTGTCAAGTGTGGGTTCTTAATATGAATAGTCTTCAAAGCATACAACACATATTCAATGCTGGAGTTAGTTATGATAAATTAGCATGCTAGGCATGCATGCACATTCTCTCTCTCTTTGAAGACATAGTATCTTTTAAATACTGGACTGTGTTAGCTGTTTTACTAACCCAAGCTATAGTAGTACTACATGTGCAGAGTGAGTAATATGCTGCATGATGCTGCTCTACAATGCTTTAAAGTGTCTTAAACCAGAGCCAGAACTTCAATCCCACTGATCATTTCCAGTGAACAACTGCTCAGTAAGGTGCGCAATCCAGACCTGGAACCCAGGATAGACCAGAACAGGAAGATGAAAAAATTGAGGATTTGAAGAGGAATAGGAAAGAAGGAACAGTGAAAGTCCCACAGTGTGACACTGAGTGGCTCACTGATCAGCTCCTGGTTGCCTGCTAACTGTGTAATGGGCACTTCAGAAACAGATATATTTGATGTTAGGGTAATAAGTAAGGTGGTTCATTAACAGATATATTTGTTTGGAAGCTGTAGATCTTCTCAGAAGTGATGGTCCACATTTTTTCTTCTAGCTGATTACACTCAAGGAGAGAATTTAGACATGTATATAAAATGCTGACAGTGTCATAGACTGTAATTGAAAAGAAACCAATTGGGGGAGGCATTGATGTTCCCTGAGAATAATACAAAATCAAGCATGTATGGAAGTTGCCTTTGACAAACTTAAATTTTAACCATTTTTAATGATGTACCATTAAAACTATCTAACCATGACTCTTTCTTCATAAATTTGCTGCTTTCCTGTCTTTCCCCCCTGCCCCCCTGCTAAGTTTTTCTCAGAGCTTGCTTTATTTATGTTTAAAGCTCATTGTTGGTATTACTAGTTAGTTTTTTACTCCATTGTTACTTGAGAAGCCCTGATTTTATTATGAATGTCATGGATTTGCTTATCTGTATGTGTAATTCAAAGCATTTTTTTATTAAAATTTATTTTAATTTCTTCTTACTGCTGTCTAATATGAAAGTTATCTTGATTACAGATGAGTACGGTTGTTCAAAAGGTTCATTCTATTAATATTCATTTTTCCAATGTATTGAAAAGCAGTGACAATATATACTTTTTGCCCTCAATCAGAGGATGCTTTTTATTTGTTACTATCTCTTTAGTAGTTTGCTCAACTAACTTTTGACCTTTTCTCCAAAGAATTATATGTGAGCCAGATCTTTCATAGATGAGTTGATGGTGATTTCCTTATTCCTCTCCCTAGCCTAAAAGGGGTTCTGAAAGTATATACTGTCCTTCTGAAATCCATTTGCATGAGTAACTTTTTGAGATATTAAAATATACAGGTTGCATGTTTTCATGTCTGTCTTAAGGTATTCCTCACTTGCAATAACTTACAAAATTAAAATGTTCATTCATGTATTGCTGTAGTACAGTTTGAATGCAAATTTATTGCAAAGAAGAGAAATATTTCTCTTAATGAAATTGTAAATTTTAGATTTAAAAGGTCAGTGGTGTTTGCTATGGAATAAAGAATAGATACATAGAAGCAATATATGAATTTATAAAAGCCTTCATCTGCCATCTGTTCCTATGCAACTGTGGTACAGCATTGGTATGTTCCTTTGCCTGTTATAAGTAAGGCTTATGAACTCCAAAGAATGTTCCAAAATTACACAAGTGAGTTATTGAAGGACTATATTTTATTCAAAGTTCATAGTAATGTCATATAATGTGAGCTTGTATCTTTGGAATTATAAATTCATGGAATTAATTTTTAGTGATTTCATTGCAAGAAATCTTTCTCAGAGATATCTTGTTAGACTAGAAATAATCTTTTAGAGAGATGGCAACTGAGGTATATTTCAGATGCTTTTGCTAACATTTAAAAAGCCTGCAGCTGTCAAAGGTCAAAATTCAGCTATTTTAGTTTCATTCACTGCTGATGTGCTTTCTGGAGCTGAGAACAATATAAAGCATTCTTTGTTTTTAACTTCTACTTTAAAAATTCATTAATAAGATAATAGTTATTTAGTATATAAAATCTTTGGTGGTTTTTTTTGTAGAATTAGAGTGGTTGAAGATGTTTATATAAATGCCACTTCATGATAAAGTTAATGGAAGATATGTACACCTTGACATACGTGGTTGTCAGCCCCGTTTGAATATAGAAAAATTTTATTGTAGATGCTGGCTTCAAAGTATGGAGAATGTACATGATGGTGGCATTGCCTTTAGCAGTGAATGATAGCATGCATGCATTTCATTCAGGGAAGCGCGTATAAGAGCATTTCAATAATGCTTTAAAATTCTTGTGCTTGATGTCAGTTTGACATGCTTACATAAACCAGGAAATTAATTATACTGTATGTGTCTTACGCTTTAAAATTCTGTGTTTGGCTTATCTTTGTGATTTTTTTTTATAATTCATCGCTCTTGGAAAATGTCCTTCATCAGTATCATTGTAATGCATATTACTGGGGAATATCTGTATCATTATAGTTCATTGAATGACTCAATTTAAATATTTAGAAAAAAAATACATAGATATATCTTTGCATTTACATTTTAGGTGGCCAAGAGGAATATGTCTTGTCATATGAACCAGTCAATCAACAAGAAGGTTTGTAGATCTCACTCAGTGTAAAATAACTATCACCTGAATTGTTTGATGTGCCCTTATGTACTGAGCACCATGGCAAACCTCTTCACTGTTTTGAACTTGTTACCGTTCTTCAAATGAATAAAGCATAAAGGCATAAATCATTAAATGCAATTGCTAAATTTAGCGCAAAATCCAAAGATGTGCTACTTGAAATAACTTATTATGTGTAGCTTACATTGCATAAGGAAAATATGGTATCTTTACCAGTTTCGTCAGTGTGAACCTCAGAAATTATAGGTTTTTTCAGTTTTATATTGCTTTAGCATTCTCACTGTTGCAGTTCCTTTTTTTTCTGTCACAGCAAAAAGTGCATCAATAGATCATTTGTCTAATTTAGTAAGCTTTAATTGAAATGTCTCTAAAACATGACGGTCTCCCATTTCTGTATGGGCTTCTTATATGACTATTTTGGTTGGCAATTGCCAAGTGATCTTTTTTTTCCAGGAAAAAAAAATAAATATTTTTAATCAAATAGAAATTGATAGGAGAAAATACATTCTTACACTTGCATTTAGAATAAAATACTTTTCCCTGATTTCCAACAGGATGCTATAATTTTCTTTTCACCTTTGTCCTGATCTTGTTTCGCTGTGTATAATAGATGTAGAATTTTTAGTGTTCCCATTCACCACCACAGGTGCAACAGTTGATTTACATTTTCTGATACGTAGCTCATGTATTTGTAAATTAATCTGTGAAAGGAATGTCCTTTGGGAATACCTGATATCTATTACGTATCAAATAAGGTGGCAGTCTGTCCTAGTCTGTTTGGCCAAACGAGGACACAGTCAAAGTAAATATAGGTCACATATTTACATGAATTTTGAGTGTCAAGATTTCATTTTTGGTTTCAGGCAGTGAGTGGCGTGGCCCGGTTGCTTTTAATAGCATTGTGGAACACGCATGCCTGTATAGACTTTCCACTCTGACTTATTAATCATGGCATATGGGCTCCATTTCATCAGTAAGCTTCCAAAAGTGGTAGAAATTGTTATACAAGACTAACACAAACTACATTATTTATATAATTTGTAATTTTGGTAGGCTCCAAATGGAATAATGGATGAGAAATGCGTGAGTTAGGACTATTCTAGAAATAGGGAAATGGTAGGGCTTCTTCAGTGTGCTAAGTAAGCTATGCTTAAGCTAGGGAACTGGAAGTTTCTTACTCTCAAATGATCAGCTGCTGGGTCTGTGTATGTAGGCACACCAGAGGGTCTCACAAAAAGAGAAGTGTCTTTTTAGCTGGCATTAGCTTCCCAGATTCTGGTAGCTTAATGGTTTAGTGAGAATGATAGTAATATCAAGTGAATTAATGTCCAGGTTGAAGAGAAAAGATGTGAATGAGACTTCGCACAAGCTGATGGTTTAGTAACTATCATATTGTAAAACTAAAAATTTTAGAGAGCCAAGTTGCTTTGGCATTTAAATACATGACTGTAATTCCCTTTACAAGTCTAAACTAGTGTATGGGGGAGACCGTGAAAGAACCAGCACCTTGTTCTTTTGCTTAGGAGCAGTAATACATTCGCTGCGTATGTTATCTGCATTTGTCTGCTAATTCACCTCCACAGTAATTTTTCTTTTTCTTTTGTTAAGCCCACAGGTTTAAAGAACTGTAATGACCAAAATAGATTTAAAGGTCCTTGGACTTGAGACACTGGTGGGCCACCCTTAGTCTTTAAGGAAAGATGTTTGTTATTAAATTAATAGGTTGACAGTTACTAAGTCTGAGACGTTCCTTTTGTTAATATATTAATACCCTGGGAAGGAAACAGTTCTGAGAGTCAAAATATATTTTATAGGTCAGACTTCATGTAACTTGGACTTATTTGTACAGTAAAGACAGATTGAACCTAAAACTAAAATTTATACAACTGAAATTATATGTTAATGCTAAGATACTTAGGCATTATTGTCTTCATAGTTGTTGCTGTATAATCGGGTAATTTCTGCTTAAGCTTAATTTCTAACCAAAAGCCCTTTGTAACTTTATAAAAAATTAAGCTGCTTTTAAAAGATGCTGCACTTCATTTTATAAGGGTGTTAATAGTGAAGCTGTATGTAGTTGAGTCTTTTCATGTATGAGTATTTAATTGCGGTCTTAGAGGAAAAGAAGCTGCTTCTCCCAACACAGAACTAGAATTTCGTGAACTCTGCTACTGCTTAACTACATCTTTGAATTGAAAAGATTTTCAAAGTTCCCCCTTTTGGTTTTTTCATTAGAATGAAGGATGTTACTTTGTGAAAAGATTTTTTTTTTTTTTTTTTTGGAAAGGCTTCATAATTTAAGACTCATTCTCAATCACCCTGGATAGTGATTTGAGAGTGAAGTTCTAAGATCTTACTGTGACTACAGTAATAATTGATTTATGTTCTTCAACATGGTTTTTCTTCTCTTTAGGAGTACATGTTCTTTTAGGTATTAAAATCATTGGCATGTGAAAAAGCTTATTTTGCTGAACTCTGAAAGTTAGCAATTGTAACTGATTTTAATTCTTTATGTTTAATAGTTAGTTACACTCGACCTGTGATTGTTTTGGGACCCATGAAAGACAGAATAAATGATGATTTGATCTCAGAATTTCCAGACAAATTTGGCTCATGTGTTCCACGTAAGTCTCAGCAAATACTAAAGCAATTCTAAATGATTTTTTCTGTTAATTTTCTTAATAGACATCCTCTGTATGTTGAGTTAAAAAAAGTTAATATATTGTCTAAACTTTATAGACCTATCTTAATTGTCAGTCACCTCTTTGCTTGTGAAATTTTTTTCAGTATAAATGGGAGACTGGTTTTGGATATTGT